CAACTATTCCTATTTTTGACTCTGCATCCTAAATCATTCATTCAGCTACAATTGTCATCACATAATTAAGCCTGATTTTCGTTTGTGTGTGTGTGTTACTCTACTCAGCTAAATAAACACATGCACAAAACATCTATTTTCGGTCATACAATCATTTATTCATTTTCCTTCGGTTTATTTATCAGAGGTTTCCACAGCGGAATGAACCGCTAACTATTCCAGCATACGTTTTAGGCACCGGATGCCCTTCCAACCGCAACCCAGTACTGAGAAACACCCATGCACTCATAAATTCACACACACCATCACACACCAGGGCCAATTTAGTTCATCAATTCACCTATAGCCTCTTAAGGCCCAGGGTTTTTTTACATGCATTTTTAAATTTCTCTTTCTATTTGGGCTTATTGGAATTTAATTAGAATAAAAATCTTTTGCTTTGTACTTTTAGAGACAAATGATGTCCATATATGTGGACTCATGGTCCGAATTTACATAAAACACTTTTTCCTGAATGTTTTTTTAATGCATAGATAACATAATATTTTTTTTACTTGCTTTAACTATCAGAGAGTAAAAACAACCTTTTTTCCCCCATTTTTGACTGTTAATAATAGTGTTTGGGACATTTCATATGCTGCAAGACAGTTGGAGGATATGAATATGTATGTCTGTAACAAAATATAAAACATTTTAAGTATTTTAATTAGCCACTTAAGAGCTAAAATGTGCTGTCCATGTATGTGGCCACTAAGCCCTAGGAGGATGGCGCATGTGTTTGGACTATGGGGAAAACCGGAGCCCTCGGAGGAAACCCATGCCAACACAGGGAGAACAAGGGATACAGCTGCGGCCAGAAGTTCACAATATTTATTTTTAATTTATTTAATTATTCATTAATTGTATTTTATTATCGTCTACTCCTACCCCAACCCTTAACCCAACCATCAGTTTTGCATAGACAGTAGTTATATAGAGTATTATTCATAATATTTATTATATCACTCATTAAATTGTATTTTGTTAACGTCCCCGGATTAATAAAGGGCCTAAGCAAATGAAGGATAGTGAATGAATGATGAGTATCCGCAGCTGTATCCCTTTTAGGCCGTACTAACACTAGGTACAGTTGCTGTGAACCGTGCTTGAGCCCGATTCAGCGCACTCACACTTCTCAAACGATCCGGGAAACGGGTCTAGGCACGGTACGGATGGCATAGTGTGAGTAGGCCCTTAGACTGTACCATTCCAAAACACAACTTTTGAAGCTTTGGCGACACCTGCTGACCACACTCTTGTAAATGCAACAAAAGCTCTGGAAAAACAAGGATTAAATTGGCATTTTTGAATACTACAAATGTTAAATCGAAAACAAAACCCATCAAATGCACTTAGCTTATCATCTAGTATTAATAAATATAAAATGTCTTCAAAATGTCAAATTTTTTAATACATTTTTAAGTCCTAATTTTAATTTAAATATTGTTTGTTCCATTTGCTGAACAGTCCAACAGGGGACTATTTTAACCAATATTATTAATTTTAGTTTTACAAATATCTCTTTAAAGCGTTTACAAACTTGTCAAACTGATTCGAGAACAGGTAAAAACCTGATGAAACCTGTCCAGTTAGTATATTTGTATACCATAACTGTATATATTTACATTCATTCACTCATTCATTCACTCATTCAATCATTTTCTTGTCGGCTTATTCCCTTTATTAATCTGGGGTCACCACAGCGGAATGAAACCCCAACTTATCCAGCATGTTTTTACACAGCGGATGCCTTTCCAGCTGCAACCCATCTCTGGGAAACATCCACATACACTCATTCACACACATACACTACAGCCAATTTAGCCTACCCAATTCACCTGTACCGCATGTCTTTGGACTGCAGGGGAAACCGGAGCACCCGGAGAAAACCCACGCGAAAGCAGGGAGAATATGCAAACTCCACACACAAACACCAACTGACCCAACCGAGGCTTGAACCAGCGACCTTTTATATGTTTATAAACACAGTATAAATATTCTATTAGGAATTTAATCTAATTTAATTTAATGTGTAACATAAACAAGCACTTCACTGTTGTATAGTTTATATATATATATATATATATATATATATATATATATATATATATATATATATATATATATATATATATATATATATATATATATATATATATATATATATATATATATCAATAGAAATATATAATGGATAGCACATGGGCTAAATGTATGTTGTTAAATTAACATTTACTAGATGTCAGTGATTTACTCTTATATTTATTTCGTTCTTCACACACAAGCTGTTGATGATAAAAACACTACTGTATGTTCTCAGATGTATGATTGCCTATATTGTTTATGTGATCACATTGGAATTTTTGAGGTTGACGGGTTTAAATATTACTGTCATGAATGAATGGACACTTGTTTTAAAATAAATTGTCTATTTATTTATTTATTTATTTTTTTTACAAAATAACATTTAGAAATAATATTTTGTATTTAATTTATTTTCAACTGTTAAACCAGTTCTGGTCAATCAATTTAATTGAATTTAATTTAATTTTATTCAATTTTTATTTTATTTTATTAAATTTTATTGTATTTTATTTTATTCAATATTATTTTATTTTATTTTATTTTGATATATTTTATTTTATTCCATTTTATTTTATATTATTTCGTTTTATTTAATGTTATTTTATTCAATTTTATTTTATTTTATTCAATTTTTATTCAATAGTGAGGCCAGCAGGGAGCGCTCAACCTGTGGTCTGTGTGAGTCCTAATGCCCCAGTAAAAGTGAAGGGGACACTGTATTGTCAGTGGGCGCCCGTCTTTCGGATGAGACGTTAAACCGAGGTCCTGACTCTCTGTGGTCATTAAAAATCCCATGGCACTTCTCGTGAAAGAGCAGGGGTGTAACCCCGGTGTTCTGGCCAAAGTCCCTCTATCGGCCCTTATGATCATGGCCTCCCAATCATCTCCTTCCACTGAATCGGCTCTATCACTGTCTCTCCACACCACCAATAGCTGGTGTGTGGTGAGCGCACTGGCGCCGTTGTCCTGTGGCAGCCGTCGCATCATCCAAGTGGATGCTGCACACTGGTGGTCGTGTGGAGAGACCCCCCTCATGATTGTGAAGCGCTTTGGGTGTATAGCCATACACAATAAATGCACTATATAAATACACATTACATTACATTACATTACAATTTTTTTTATTAAATTAAATTAAATTTTATTAATTTAAAATTTATTAAAATTAATTATTTAATAACATTTTATTTTATTTTATTACATTGTTTTATTTTATTACGTTTTAATTTTTTTAATTAAATTTTTTTTATTTAATTAAATTTTATTTATATTTTATTCAGTTTATTTTATTTTATTCAATTTTATTTTATTTTATTCAATTTATTTTATTTTATTCATTTTTATTTTATTTTATTTTTATTTTATTTTTATTACATTTTATTTTATTTTATTTTATTCAATTTTTTATTCAATTTTATTTTTTATTTTTATTAAATTTAATTTAATTTTATTAAATTAAATTAATTTTTTTTATCACATTTTATTTTATTTCATGGCATTTTATTTTATTTTATTACATTTATTTTATTTTATTTCGTTTTATATTGTTTTATTACATTTTATTTATTTTATTTTATTTTGATTTATTAAATTTTATTTTATTTATACTTTATTCAGTTTATTTTATTTTATTAAATTTTATTTTATATAGTTTATTTTATTTTATTCAGTTTTATTTTATTCTGTTTATTTTATTTTATTCAATTTTATTTTTTTATTTCATTCAATTTTTTATTCATATTTATTTTATTTTTGTTTTAATCTGTTTTATTTCATTTTATTAAATTTTATTTTATTAAATTTTATTTTATTTATTTTTGTTCTGTTTATTTTATTTTATTCAATTTTATTCAATTTTATTCAATTTTATTTCATTTTATTTCATTTTATTCAATTTTCTTTTATTTTATTCATTTTTATTTCATTTTTTCTTTATTTAATTTAATTTAATTTTATTTTATTTTATTCAATTTAATTTTATTCAATTTAATTTAATTTTATTCAATTTTATTCAATTAAATTTTATTCCATTTTATTTTATTTTATTCCATGTTATTCAATTAAATTTTATTGAATTAAATTACATTTATTTAAAAAATTTTATTTTATTTTATTTCAGCTGGAAGGGCATCTGTTGGGTAAAACATATGTCAGAGTAGTTGGTGGTTCATTCTGCTGTGGAGACCCTAAAAAATCAGGAATTAAGCTGAAGGAAATTGAATGAATTAATTATTTTATTTTATTATTGTGATTTTTTATTTATAGCTCATGTATGAGCTTATTGAGCAAAATGATAAAGGAATGGGACAAATTAATAGTTATAAACTTTATAAACTTTACCACTAGCACTGTGGCCTCACAGCAAGAAGGTCACTGGTTCAAGTCTCGGCTGGGCCAGCTGGCATTTCTGTGTGGAGTTTGCATGTTCTCCCCATGTTGGCGTGGGTTTCCTCCAGGTGCTCTGGTTTCCCCCACAGTCCAAACACATGCGCTATAGGGGAATTGAGGAACTAAATTGGCCGTAGTGTATGAGTGGGTGAATGAGAGTGTATTGGTGTTTCCCAGTGTTGTGTTACAGCTCGAAGGGCATCCGCTGCGTAAAATGCTGGATAAGTTGGCGGTTCATTCCGCTGTGGTGACCCCTGATGATGGAAGAGACTAAGCCGAAGGAAGGTTTATTAATGAATGTAGAGATTGCATTAAAATACTTATGACAAGATAATGTGACATAAAAACACAGCTAAGTAAATAAATAAATAAAATAAAAGCACAAAGGTAAAATATCAGGACTGTTGGGCCCCATGGCTAAAATTGCTTAGGGCCCCCAAATCTCTAAATCCGCCCCTGCTAATACATGAACTTATTGTAAAGTGTTACCAGTATTTGTGGGTGTAGTGAGTCTCCGGCAGGTGCCAGCAGCGTCTTCGAGAGGCGCGCGCGTCCAGTGCGCGGCGCCGCGGCAGGAAGAACGCGCGCGGGAGCGAGTAACTGACTCTCATGATGGGGAAGTAACTGTCAGCCGCAGAAGAGCCCGAGGAGACATTTTCACAAGTTTCTATATCTTTCCTCAACCTTTTTGTGTGAACAGCGTGAACATGTTTTCCCGAAAGAAGAAGGAGCAGGCGACTAAAACACCTACAGCCTCCAAAAAGAGCAACTCTGCGCAAAACCCTTCGGTGAGAACAACAAACTTTCTCTTGAGGGAAATAAAAACACGGTTAAGATTGTGACAAGTCCGTATTGCTAGCGTGTTTAAAACAAGTCCACAGGTTTAATCTTCATTAATGTAAAGCTGCTTTGCATCTAATGCTAAATGTCAAAAGAGTTACAAATGTGCTCACACTCTCTAAAGAGTTCACTTCCTTATTTATTTACTAAAACTAAATGCACTTTATTTCTAATGGATGTTGAACTTGTGTGTGAATCGTTTTAACTGAATTGGTTCATTTGAATGATTCATTTCATGCTGTTACTTCGAAAACTTTCGGTTGATCTGAATCTTTAGATTCGGATCAGAAAATGCTCATTTATTTCGACATGTAACGTAATTAAACCGTCACTTCTGCATGATGGACATTTGCCATTTGTGAACTGGTCTGATGCAGAACGACTTGTTCTTTGTTTCGCAAACAATACCAGAAATAAACTGAGAGGAAGTCAAGAGAGTCATTTCAGAACAAACAGTTAGTCGTTCAGTTCCAGATGGAAGAAGCTTCTTTGGTTAAACAGGTGCGACACAACGATATGAAGTACATAATGTGACATAAAACCTTAAGTCAACATAGTACCACGACTCTTGATTTAAATAGCAAATTGAAAAATGTTTCAACCAACAATTATGTCACGTTCAACTCGTGCAGGAGTTTAGTTTCTTGGCAAAACACACAAATATATACTCAGTTAAAATACTAAGGGTTAAAAATACCCTAACATAACCAAACTATAGGTTATTATAGCATTTTCCCAACTATGGGTTATTTTAACCCAGTGCATTGAGTTATTTTGATTAAATGTATTTTTTTCCATTCTGGTATTACTATTGCTACTATTACTAGTACTACTATTATTCATTTTACAAATATGTCTGTGTAAATAAAAAACATACAGTTTTAGAAAATATTGAAAATGCTTTATTTTCATTACATTTTAAGTTCCAGACACCTAAACGTTTTTATTTTTTTAATATAGATCAGCTAAGTGCACGTTCGTATCGTCAATAATTAAGAATGCTAGTGAAATGGATATAAAACACGACACGGAGAGGTAATTTGATAATTAACCAACAACATTATTTCGATAGAGCTTAAATAAACTTTATAACGCAAAAACAACAGTACGTACACATAATAATGCAGCTGTTCTGTCAGTTAAATCAGTTAAATGTTGAAATTCAATTATTTTAACCCAACTGCTTGAGTTGTTAAATAAATAACCCAATAAAGGTTAAAACCAACCCAACAAAGCACCAAATATTTGACCCAACTGGTTGAGTTATTATTAAATAATCCATTTATTCATTTTGTATTCGGCTTAGTATCTTTATTAATCCGGGATCGCCACAGCGTAATGAACCGTCAGGTTATCCATCACGTTTTACGCAGCGGATGCCCTTCCAGCTGCAACCCATCTCTGGGAAATATCCATACACACTCATACACTACAGACATAGCCTACCCAATTCACCTGTACCACATGTTATTGGATTGTGGGGGAAACCGGAACACCCGGAGGAAACCCACGCAGGGAGAACATGCAAACTCCACACAGAAACACCAACTGACTCAGCCGAGGCTCGAACCAGCAACCTAGCAACTGCGCCTAGCGACTAGCTACTGCGCCACTGCGTCGCCTTTAAATAATCCAATAAGGGTTAAAAATAATCCAACAAAGCACCCAATATTTTTAACTCATCCATTGGGTTAAATAAATAACTCAACGTTTTTTAGTGTTTATGAGCAATTCCAGCGTTATGAATGTGACATTTGCAGTAAAATCTTAAACAATGATTGACATAGAAAGTATATGTTAAGATTAGGCTTGGGCTGGTAAGATTCTGATGGTATGATAACCTTGAATAAAATGATCACGGTATTGTGCTTACTACTCTAAAATATATTATTTTTAAACTGTCTGGGTAAGAAACAAAAACTTTTTTTTCCCTTTAAACACAGTATATTTAATTTAATTAGTTTAGAGCAGTAAACATGTCAGGCTAATTAATTAAAATCAATCAGACGTCTGTTGTCTTCATTTTCAAAGCACACAAATTTCTTTGCAATCTAAAACTTTATCTTTGAATATTTTTTCTGCTGGAAGTACTGTTTTCCTTAATAAAATAAAATAGAAATGTAAATAAAAAATCTTACACATACCTTAGGAAGATAATAACAGAAAATTTTGGCGGTTTTAAAACCTTGACTTCTCCAAAGCGCGGTATGCCTGGAAAACGGTTATCCTCCCATGCCAAGGTAAGATTATATTGAAACATCTGTTTATATTTTCCAAAACTACTAACCACAGAGTTATGAGATCAGAAAAACATCAATCTGTAAACATTTTGTATATTTTAAATGAGGAAATTAAACATGCGTTATGGATGTGACGGAAACAAGTCTGTGAATTTACAGTAACGTTAAACAACATACTTTGTAGAAATTCTGTGAGTTAAACTGCACAACCCAAAATAAATAATGCTAATGAAAAGAAGAAGAGTTGGCTCACTGCAGTACAAAGAAATTTTATTTTATTTTATATGACATTTTTGCATTTATGAGGAAAAAGCATCGTTATGGATGTGACACTTTTCTGTTATGGATGTGTCAGATGTGAAATTGCCCCCTCGTGTGACTTTGCTTAATCAAATATAATAGTTTGAAAACGTTGACAGAGACATCTTTGAGTATTTTTAAAGCACTGTAAAATACTTGCTTACACAAAAAATGTTTAAACAGTTTCTCTATTTTGGTGAAAACATAATTTTTTCATGGCATGGTTGACATTTGCATGGAATTACTCAAATATATATGAGCAATTTCATCATTATGAATGTGACATTTGCAGTAAAATTATAAAAAATATATTGACATAGAAAGTATATGTTTAGATTACATTGAAACATCTGTTTATATTTTTCAAAACTATTAACCACATAGTTACGGAATCAGAAAATATAAATCTGTAAACATTGTATATCTTAAATGAGGAAAATAAACAGGCGTTATGGATGTGACTAAAAAAGTCTGCGAGTTTACAGTAGACAACATACTTGGTAGAAATTCTGTGAATTAAACTGCACAACCCAAAAGAAATGATGTTAATCAAATAAACAAGAGTTGCTCAATATAGAACAAACATGACTGATTTTATTTTACTTGACATGTTTGCATTTATAAGGAAAACGCTTGCTCATGGATATGACAGATGTGTGATTTCCACTTGTGTGACTTTGGTAAATCAAATAGTTTCAAAACACTGACAGAGACATTTTTGAGTGTTTTTGCAGTACTGTGAAATACAAGCCTACACAAAAAAAAAGGGTTTCGCTATTTTGGTGAAAACCTTTTTTTTTTTCATGGCAAGGTAAACATTTGTATGGAATTGCTCATACTGCACCCAAACAACCCTATTGACTTTCATTGTATGGATTAAAACACTTGAAAGTAGGCGTGAATTTGATGTTGCAGCAGACTTTGATTCCAGTGTGATGAGATATTTATATTTGAATGTTGAGTAGGGAAGCAGGGTTTTTAGTTTTGCACCCCTTTCCTCACCCTTCTCCCACAAAAACTTGTGGTTGAAGGGGCGTGGCTAAGCATGTTTCGCTTAATTTTTCAAACTGATCAGTGAATGACTGCCATTCTAGAGTAGATGCAGATGGTCAGATTTCGATAAAAGAATTACCAAAACAATAATTTAATTACATTTAAAAATTAATTTATTGATTGTTTATCTTAAGACAACAATGTGGGCAAGCAAAATAAACTTTTAAATCAAAATACATTTTTATTTCATGCAGACTTTAAGACATAGGTCTCAAACTTGATTCCTGGAGGGCCGCAGCTCTGCACAGTTTTGCTTCAACTCTAATCAAACTCAGCTGATCCAACTAATTCAGCTGTTCAAGACTACTAGAGACTATTAAGCAGGTGTGAATTGAAGGTGGTTAGAGCTTAACTGTACAGAGCTGCGGCCCTCCAGGAATCAAGTTTAGCACCATTGCTTTAAGATATTTTTTAAAATGTCTGTTTATGTTCTGTATGAAACTGTATGATTGTTTTTCTTCTATGCAAAATGAAAAGAGAAATTCTGAGCACCTTTCTGTGAAAATTGATGATACTACTAAGAGGGTATATTATAATATACAATATTTTGTAAATGGTATTACACATATTTTAATATTACATTTGTAAATATTCTAAATTAACATATAAAGTAAATTAAAATACTTTTGTAATTAGTATGTAATCTGTAAAATAGCACTTATAATTTTATGTAAATTGAATAATTTTTAAAAATATATTTAAAATATAGCTAATATTTGCAAAATAAATAAATATAAATAATTATATTCATGGTGGCCTAGTGGGTAGCACTGTTGTCTCACAGCAAGAAGGTTGCTTGTTTGGGCCTTGGCTGGGTCAGTTGGCATTTCTGTGTGGAGTTTGGATGTTCTCACCGTGTTGGTGTGGGTTTCCTCTGGGTGCTCTGGTTTCCCACCCACAGCTCAAACACATGTACTATAGGGGAATTGGGTAAGCTAATTCGTCCTTTAAGAAAGTCTTAAAGTGTGAAATTAAAATTTTAATTTGTGTTTATTTTGCCAGTGCATTGTTATTCTTTTGGTTAACAGTTAATCCATGCAAGTTAATCCACTGAAAAAAAAACTGTTTGTTTTGGTAATCTTTAATTAATTTTTTAATGCGCTTTTTTAAAATTTATGCACATCTTGGTGTTTTCATTCAGCATTTTTATGCATTATTCCAAAGTGCTCATAAAAATAGCTGGATGGAAACATAGCTATCTATATTCACATATCTACTGTAAATCTGTCATATTTACACTAAACTTTTCAGCATGCATCATCAACATTCACCACCATGATAATCATCCTTCATTAACTCTGTTAATAGTTGTCCATCCTCCAACAATTTTACTAATTAATAAAAATACCGTACATCTAATGCTGTAGTTCAGCGTTTCTCAACCACGTTCCTGGAGGACCACCAGCTCTACACATTTCCATGTCGCCTAACCACACACACCTGATTCGATCATCAGCTCATTTACAGAGAAAAACGTGGTTGAGAAAAACTGCTTTAGTTGACATAGCGTGGTTAAATACTTATAGCGCAGGATTTGAAGATCAGAATCATATCTGTTTAACAGATGTGGTCATATGGAAATGAAAAATATATTAGACCAGAAAATTATCCATTATTACCTTATTATTTTAGTATGATCATTACATATATACAGTTGAAGTCAGATTTATTTGCCCTCCTGTGAATTTCTTTTTCAAAAATTTCCCAAATGATGTTGAACAGATTCAGGATTTTTTCACAGTATTTCCTATAATATTTGTTCTTGTGGAGAAAGTTTTAATTTTTTAAATTTCAGCTAGAATAAAAGTAGTTTTTTTATTTTTTTTAACCATTTTAAGTTCAATATTATTAGCACCCTTAAGCAATATTTGTTTTGGATTGTCTACAGAACAAACCACTAATATACACTGACTTTCGTAATTACCCTAACTTCACTCTAATAAACCTGGTTAAACCTTTAAATGTCACTGTAGGCTAGTATCTAGCTAATAGTACTGCTAATAATTCAGGAGGGCTAATAAATCTGACTAATCTAACTGTATTTATGTAACATAGCTAAATTCATATCCATAAATCTGTCATATTCACACCAAACTTTTCTATATGCATCATTAACCTTCATCACCATAATAATCATCTGTCATTAACACTCGACCCCTGTCTCTCGTTCCCCTGTTAAACCCAGTTGTCCATCCTCCAGGAACACTCTCAGAATGACACTATGGACGGCTCCTCCATGTTGACTCCTCCAGATTCGGTGGCGTTGTCTTGTCCCGGGACACCCTGTGCTCACTCCAGACTGTCGGGCTGCAGTTCTCCTGTCGGGACTGTCAGGCGGCCCCCGGGTCTCAGCCGCCATGCCAGCGCTGCAGGGTTCCCCTTCCAGACGTCCGGGACCTGGGGCTTCCATAAGGGTTACGTGCGGGCACCGCTCAACTACGGACAGGCGGCGGAGGGACTGGAAACATCAGTTATCGAGGTGGAGGACATTCCCTCTCTGCTGAGAGACGTCGCACGATTTGCGGAGGCCGTGGAGAAACTCAAGGACATGGTGCTGGGTGAAGGTATGCTTTTGTTGACATAATGTGTTCACTTTTTGAACATGAAAGTGATTTAGTCCTTGTGTGCTGTAGGGTTGTTTTAGGATAGGATAGAATAGAATAAACTTTCTTTGTCCCCTAGAGGAAATTCGTCAAAGCCAAAAAAAGTGCTACAATGTTGCTCTAAGCAGACAATAAAAAATAAAAAATAAAAAAACAATTAAGTATATACATTGTTTACAAAGTAAGACCATGTATAAATATGAAATATATAAAACACAGAACACAGTCATATGATAATATACTAGAGGTGCATTGTTCTTGGTAGAGTTTAGGGGCCCTATCATACACCCGGCGCAGTGTGGCGCAAGGCGCGGCGCAGTAGTCTTTTGGTAGTTTCAGCTTGGCGCAAGAGTTGTTTTGAGGCGTTGCGCTACGCTGTTTAAATAGCAAATGCATTAGCGCTCATTTGTGCGCCCATAGGCGTTCTGGTCTAAAAAGGAAGGCGTTCTGAGGCGGACCGCTGGCGCGTTGCTATTTTGAGAAACTATAATAGATTTTTCATTAGACCAAAACTAACCCGGTCTAAACTCCGGCACAGAGTTGTGCCTCGCTTACGCACTGCTTAATACACACAAGAGAGCAATAGGCAAATATCTTTACATATGAAAAAATTTAAATATTAAGGATATATATAGGATAAAATGAGAATAGATATAGAATATAAATATAAAGGATTAAAATATTACAAAACATATTATTTTCTAGCCTACATAAATATGAAAAATCACTGCTTTTATGTCTTCTTCATCTCGGGAGGCTTTTTCAGTTCATTCATAACAATTTGCTTTTGTATAATGTTATTATTATTAGCAGTATTATTTATTATATTCATATTTATATTTGTTTTATTAAAAACAAGCTTAGATTTGCCCACCTGTCAGGTTTTAGACCATATGGGGCACAGCATGTGTTTTAGGATATAACTCAGGTTTTTGAGCACACTTCGTTAATATTGTTCATTTATTCGTTTGCTGGAAATTAGAACTGAATTTAGAAATAGTTTTGAAACAAATATTTGCGCTTAACAAACAAAATTAATTATTTATAGGCTAATTGATGTCTGTGCGTAAAGGTTTCCCTATCCAAGAGTGAAAGTGAAAGTGATCCATTATCTCTCATTCTCACGCAGTAGATGCTCTGTTGAACAGTTTTCTGTTAAAACACTGTTAACTGTTTGCTAGTGAAATGCTCAGTTTTTCCACTTAGACTTACTTTGCGTCCTGTAAATAGTGAATGCGCTCTTGGCGCGACACAGCTGACTCTTAAAGGGAATGGGAGATGAGACTCTGATTGGTTTATTCTCAAAACACACCTATAACTCATTAAGAAAATAAACTCAACCCTTTTAGACCATGCGGCACTTGCCCAAGGCAGATTTCCCGTACTTAAATTAGCAAAAACGGTTCCTGACACGCCCTGAAAGCGCTTGCGCCCTGCATTTTGCACTCTGTGCATGGACTGTCAAAATAGAGCCCAAACAGTTTTATCGAGGTTGGAAAAACTAAAGCTTTATTCTATTCTTTTTACACATTGGCACATTTTTCCTGATGGTAACCGCTGATATTCACTGAAAAGAGGATGTTTGGAATTAGCAGTAATATTTATTGCTCTTCTCATAACCGCCTGTTCATATAGTCTGTATGGGCTTGTATTGTTTTAGTCCTATGACTTTCATTACTGTTTTTTGAATATGAACAGATTTATTTTTTCTTTTTGTTATATTTTGTTTTATGTAACATTTTATAAGATAGTTAACAAAAACAGTACAATACCAATAAAAGGAAGTAGAAAAAAAACTAAATAATTAACATTAGCCCTCCCACCCCATCAAAAAAAGGGGGGGAGGGATCGTCTGTTACGAAATATACATAAATATATATATATACATGACATATGTAGCATTAACATGTATATAAAAAATATGACAGTATTCATGTTTTTACAAAGTCACTGTCCTAAATATATGGGTTAGACATGAAAATTAACAAAGGTAAAATGGTAGATTCCCAAGAGTCTTAAAATAGGTCCCTATGTGGTTTCAGATTTGTTCTGTGAAGTTTTAAGACGTAGTCGTTCCATTTGAATGACATAAAGGAGCTCATTCAACCATCTCTTAAAACAATGAGCCTTTGGAGAATTCCAATTAGGTAAGATCATCTTTTTAGCTGTAGTCATGCCAACAATCAGGGCTGGCTATTGGGTTTATTGGGCTATTGGGGTATTGGGTGTCCATTATATTTAAATGCCCAAAAATAGCCAAATTGTTGTCAGGTGGGATATTGGTTCCATAAGCACAGGAAAACAACTGAAATGATGGACCAAAACTCATAAAAAACAGGACACACCAAAATAAATGTGCCAAAGTCCCTTCTGCCCCACCACATCTGTAGCATTTAGGAGATACAGAGGGAAAGATTTTACTTAATCTAGTTTTAGAGAAATGAAGAGGATGTAAAACTTCAAATTGAATTAATTAGTCTCGAAGTTATTGAAGCTTTTTTTTATTCTCGACAGGGCTTCTTCCCAACCAATTTATTTTTCAATAGGACAGACAGATTTCCAAACCAGTTTGTGATTGCTTAGAGATTAAGACTTCAAACATAACTCGATAAAAAGCAAGCAAGATATTGCTACCCACCTCACACAGTCTCAGCCTTTTAAAAAAAATAAAGCCTCTGTTGTAGTTGTGTGCACAAGCTGCCAATGTGTGTTCTGCAACAAAAAACACTGTCCATATAGAACCCCAGGTATCTGTAAGAGGTAACTTGCTGTATCACTGTGTCTTTAATAGAGGTGTAACGATACACTCAGCTCAAGATACGATGTGTATCACGATATAATGTTCACGATTCGATATGTATCACGATATTTGGAAAAAAAATTTAAAATTAAACTGAACTGCAAATTTTACCAAGTAAACTATTTTTTATGTATTTCTTTTGTTTCAACTTGTTAAACTGAACCTTCTTTTAGAAAATATATTAGACAGGCCTGTCTCTGGAAAATAAAACAATTTAAAAACTTCTTAAAAAATATTATTGAAATGACAGAGACAAAATTAATGAACAATTTAGGTAAAGGTGCAAATAAAAATAAAGATCACTCTGTTCCACAAACTGAATGTTGTTTACTACTTTATTAGTCACAACCTGCAGGTTCTGTTCACTGAAGCAGACGCGCGCGTATGGCAAGCCGTTTTAGCATTTAAACCTTTGTTCTGATTATCCATAAATATGTTTAATTCATAT